AAAATTGACCTGGGTGCCTTTCTGGCACAGAGCCTTCTGGAAGCGTGGTCATCTCTGTCGCTGTATGTACAAGTTGCAGATGAAGACGGTACCTATATTGTTGGTTAATATTGCTCCTTCTTAAAATAAACACATCTTGAAAAAAAGTTTGAAAACGTCACGAACTTCTGTAGCACCCTTACACGTGAAGTAGTAGGTTCAGCAGCGAAAGTATTATGGCCTTCAAAAAAGAGCTCCTCGTTTTTAGAATCGCTTTAATCTCTCTTCTAGTTATATATGAGAGCGTTACACGCAACTCTTGAAGGATTGAAACAAGAAAACTGAAAGCTCCGTGCCTCTGAACTTATTACTAATTAAGCTGCTGTACTCTTTCTTACCTGAGAGGCGACGCTAGATGGATCCTCCTTCATAATTAAAATTAGTTTATCGTATCAAAATTATTAGCTTTATACAAATTTCAATTCAATAGTGATCATACGGACGATGTCAGCTGTCGTTCCACGCAAGGACTATCGCCATGAGTGCTGAAAAAATTTTGATCAGTAATACCGCGTGAGAAAATATGTAAGGCATGGTTACTAAAACATTAAAAAACATTATTGTCATCAAAGATGATCTGACACTGTCGCGGTGCTGATGATAATGAATTTTGAAATCGCGGTGCTTCCGTGAAGAATATCCCGCATTACCGTGAACACTTTCCTTTTTTCTTGAAAGACGTGGTAGTTTTTCTTGTGAGACGTGGTCAAGGTGTAGAGCAGATGATAACCTTCAGCAGGACTGTCATGCTAAGATTTGCGTGCTTTACGTACCTTGGACTCTTACAATGGTCACTGGTTTTTTCATTGCAACAAACAAAAATGCCTAGGCCACTAGAAGTAAATGAGAGGTGTTAGCAGTTGAGATGTGATTCTTTGTTCTGGTAGGGAGCCCGATCATCAGCTCCCTTGACCTTGCTTGATAGGCCAGAAACGGGGCACTCCCTAATAGGGGAGCGGGTGACCGTTGAGGTGGGGGAGGGGGTCATGACGAGAGGGGCAATCAGTACCGAGCAAAGATGTCAGTGTCGTGTTAGCTCTGGGTAGCGAATCTTGCCTCGTAGAGAATCCGGATTTTCAAAAAAACGCTACAAAAAAGAATGATCCTATAAACATATCGCTGAGTTGGCGTAAGTTCGTAGGTACGTGCATGACTGAACAGTACAACTCATAGTCTGGTTTGCTGCGGATGATGGGGCGTGTCCGCATGGCTGCGTTTGCTGCGGCGCTAACCGGTTTTTCCTTTTTTCTTACTATTGATCAGAGAGCGCAATTGTTTGCGAGCAAAAAAAACCACTTCAATTGTTTTTTGAAGCTTCCGGGGATTACGAGGTGATCCAAATACGTGTTTTTCATGGGGAAAACAAGAAAACCCGTGCCCTGTGTAGCATTCCGAGTGGGCGTACTTGAATACACTAGGAGGCATTCAGAATTGTTTCCTTTGTGGAACAGTAGTTAACAGTGGTCCTTGTAGACCGGCCCGTAAAGTTTCATCTCTGGATGCGCCATTCCTTAGGTCCCATGCCAGCGGTAGTGGAATGATGCAACTTTAAGGTGATGGCCGTCCACGCGAGTAGATGTCTTCATAGGGTCAATGGCCTACCAGGGTACTTGTTTGCAGTATCGCTCGCTGCAAACAAGAGCCCTAGTGATGGGGCGTTTCCACGCGACTGTGTTGTCACGCCGTTAAATTTGTTCTCCACCAGTTGTTGAATCGGGTGAGCGACATCGACTGGTGAAAAACGACTGATGCAAACGGTGTGGGTGTGCATGTAAGATTTGTCGCAGTAGTTTATGCAGCAGAAGAAAATCTTCGCTTTCCACAACTAGGTCCTATGCTTCACACATCTGCGCTTGTCAGAAAACATCGCCCGTTCAAACACAAAGGCTAGCACCTTGATTGAAAATGCCCAGCAATTCCCCCAACGCTAAATATCTATCCAAATCGAAAACCTTCAAAAACATTCCAGTTCTTTCTAAGAAGGTTCTTCTTCACAATCGCGTTTTTCTTCTATCTATCGGTCTACATTGAATGAGTTACGGCTTTCGGAAAAGAGTTGCTCTACTCGAGGAGGTTCTAGGCAATATTGTTACAACCGGCTCAAAGGACGTTGGACCCACTAACACGGCCCCTCTGTTCCTTGATCGATCTGAGCCCGATCAACCACCGCCTGGCTATATTCTGTGTTCATGTTGCTTTTTCTCTGTTCCGTGTTCGCGATCGAGTTCGCTCGGTTGAGTTCGTTATTTGTATTTTCCACAAACCCTTCGATTTGACATGAGATCCGGTGGGGCACATAAATTGCCGAATAGGTGTTTCTCCTCACGCTCCGATATTTAGGCCTCAGAACCTGCGGAGGTAGTTTGATGTTCAGGGGCGCATGGGATGTGCTCAAATGGCGGTGATGGGTCGACCCCCTCAGAGAGTGGGTAGATACGACCCCCCCCCCCTCCTGCTCTAACTGACAACCAGATGCATGTTCACCACAAATGGCTTCCTGAAATGGAATCTGGATTCTCGAAAGGCGCACTCTGCTCTAAAATACAGGAAATAAAAGGCTGTTTCAGCCTCATGCAATATGAGGCTGAACAACAGCCTCGCATTACCTACAATTTTGTCTTAGGATTCAAAATAAAACTCCTCGTTCGATAACTATGTATGACATGCAACTTGTAACAAGGAACACAATTGAAATAGCGGCTAATGGTGATCATTGATAGGCTGAATTGGTGAAAAAAAAATAGCCCCAAGGTGAGCGTGTCAGGGCCCAGATGTGCATTCAATGAATGGTGACGGGGAAATAATGAAAACATGCACGACACAACAAAGCGAAACATGGAAAATACAAAAAATGCAGAGCTAAGTGAAAAAGGATAACCAGGCCGGCAGTAAATCGTTCCATACTTGGCTATTATCGATCAGGCTGCAGGGCGCAAGGCTGCGACCGCTTTCTTTGGAAAAACGTCATTGGAGCGCGGTTGTTGGACTTGCCAACGTCCTGGGGTCTGTTCGGGGGTTATATCTTTTTTAGGTGCGGAGTTTTGAGGAATGGTGAGCAGCATGCAACGGCAAAGTTTCTACTATTGTGTATTCTACCTAGCTGCAAACTGAACAATCCCCCGTTGGTGAAATATTCCGGATGGGTCACGGTTCGGCCAGGGGTAAATCGCGAGCTGGTTTCCATTGCTTTTTTTTTCTTTTTTTCCATGATTCACACAAGGACTGCTTCGTTCAAACGCAATTTCATCAGGACTGAAGTCGTCTTGAAACCCCTCCATCTTTTCTCTTTCCAATAAGCTTTACAGTTTTTCTGAAGACCCACTAGTTCAGGAGATATTTTAGATGGGCGCCCAATATGCGCCCCTCTGGACCCACCACCGAAAAATTGACTGCTTATGTGCCATTGGTGAGGAGCACACCTATCCGGTAAACTTCAATGTGCCTGTTCAAAACATACATATCTTCCCTTACAAATGAGCTGAAGAGAAGCTGTGGCCGTTATCTCTGATCGATTTGGTCCGTGCGCCGTGCATTAGGCTCCTACGCAGAGATGGTGGAAATGTGTAAATTCTGATTTCAGGTGCTTTTATCCATGCAAGCAGATGTTTGTTTAGGGTTTGTAAAGGACAACACGCACGAATCTGTTTGAGACGTATTATTTAGTCATCTACGTACTTACGAGTTCATGCTATAAACTGACACTTATTTATTTATTTAATTGGTTTCTTGCCTATATTGCTAATATCATCTTTATTATTTTGTATTTCCTGATTTACATCCGGGCGTCGTCTGAGCTTCTCCGTTCCGTTCCATTACCTAGCAATTGTACTGTTTTGATGCTTAGCCGAGGCCTACCTTTTGCGATACTCCTCACGGTCCCCGGCGGCCAAGTCGGAACCCATTCTTGGGGTATTTTCGCCTATGATAGAGGCGCTGTTAAACGTAGATTTAAATCCTGTAAAAATACACTCGAGATGAATCGGTGGTCTTAAACATCCTTGAGCTTCCATAGCTCCACTCCACTATGCAAGCTGAAATGTCGACCATTGCTGGGCTCTGGCCAGTGGACCTTGAGATTACTTTACCCCCCTTCTCCATCAGCCAGCGTACGACCCCGCCCCATGGTGTTTGCCCACAACTGATGCCGTTATATCCTGGGTGGTGTTTGATGCCCCAGTAAGTCACTGTGCGCCTTCCGACGGAAAGTTTGATGAGAATTTTGGCGCAGCTCAATATACTGCACCATTTTGTGAAGTCCTGCAGATCGTGGCTGGATCGTTTCGGTGCAGTTTTGTAGGCAGATATACGCCGCACAATGCTGCGAGTTTGACTGCTACGTAACGTCTTCGATTTTAGGAATAGTTGGACGGCTTCAGAGCCGTAAGGTGCAAAAAAACTGCTGTGCGTCAGGCAATGAAGGTTATTGCCTGAGGCTGTTGAGGGAGGACTTCCGCTGTGGGTGCTCTACTGCTCTATGCAAAATGTGGTTTTCGCAATAAGTGAGAAGTACAGATCGGCGACGGAGGGGTATTTTGCTACTTCCCACCTACGTATCGACCCATATAGACGGCCTCCCGAGCTGGCAGGTTCTAGTCCATGATGGCTTGACGAGCTTGCTCCAGCTTCACAAGAGTTCACAGGTTTCACCAGAGTGAGACTTGTAAACCGGAACTAGTGAAGCAACGAAAGTGCAAAATGCCCCTCCCCGTCGCCGAACAGCGCCGCCCATCTATCTTAAAATGTCCCACTAACTCGGACTAAAGTCCTATTTAAGTATTCACTTAAATGAGTCACCCTCCATGTGGCTTTTGGCATTGCATTCGGAACCTATCCCAAATATGAACAGCTCTGTTTCGGGTGGAGAATAGACAACAAACTTGGAAAAGCATGGGAGCGGTCGTACAGACTTGACCGAAATCCCCTATGCATAATATACCCTTGCCAGGAAGCTCTGTAGAGAATTAGTTCTTAGATCCATGAACGTTTGCGGTGAGGCGTGGAATATGACATGAGCTACTCAGAGCGTTGTATCCTTTTTTGTTTTTCCTTAAGCTTTTCCACAAAAGCTGCTTATTCACAACTTTGACGTAGTTTTTATCATTGAGATATTGTTCGCTCAGCCAATAGAGCTTGTTCTTCACATAAAGAATGGAATTACCTATGCTCAAAAGGATCTCCGGTGAGTTTGACGAGCCTTCGGCGGGGCGAGGATCGACGTTGCACCACTGCAACGTTTAGTGATCAGAACTCTGATTAATATCGAAGCGAAGGTAATATACCCACTCCACCAAATGCATAGCCTACCTGGCTCATCGGTTGATCTGGTCTTGTTCTATCTGCGAACGCTTGGAACTTGTCCAGACTACAATATAATAATCCTTTGCATGGTTCAATCATATGCGTGACTGGGTAAAGCGTCACATTCCCGTCATTTTGATGGTAGGTGAGCTGAAAACCATAGCATTAACTATCCCAAATTTTCAATCTTATTACTAATACTACCACCACTACTACTTTTATTATTACTACTACTGGCAACAGTAGTAGTATTAATAGTGATAGTTACCATTATTATTATTATTATTATTATTATTATTATTATTATTATTATTATTATTATTATTATTATTATTATTATTATTGAAGAGTTATTAATTATAGATTATAGAGTATTATTATTATTATTACTATTATTGTAGAGTATAAGATCAGGTTCCATTCAGAATGGTGCTAGCCTACCGAATGCGATGTACAATGACTGGCGGGGGCCAGCCAATGTCAAGTCAGTGCTTTTGTCCTCCCAGACAACTCTGGTAATAAATTACAGTATGGAAAACTTGGCTTTTCTGGGCAGGGGTCGATCCAGAATTTGATCTCCTGACCGGGCGGTGGTAAACGTGTCACTTACAACTACATCGTCTCTGCCTTTTTGTTGTTATTAATAATAGTTACAACGTAATAATAGTAATAATATAGAACTCGATTGCAATATGATATTATGCTTCATAATAAAACACTGTCACCCTATTTCCAAAGGGGCAAAACTACAAACATAGATGCTCAAGAGAGTCTGAAATCACGTATTCCGCTGGCGGCCCTATGTAGCTTGAATGGTAATGTGTATTCTAGACCTTGATCTATTATAGTTCGATAGAACTCACAATGAGTATTAGCGCCTCAGAGGCGAGATAGCGAAATGCGCGAAAGCATTGGACTGAAAACTCACTGACCTTGAAGTAAGGCTGACTATCGGTGCGATTCCTCCATAGCTCAATAAATGTAGCTGCCGAGTAATCAGGATATCCAAGTGATGTCATAACTTTCGTCTCAATACCCAATATGGATAGAAGCGCATAAATTGTGTCGTCATGCTGAAAAATGGAGTTGGCGATAGAATGCACTTTTGTTTGTGGTCGGTATAGGACCGCTGTTTCCTGGTAAAGACTTTACATCTATTGCCTTTCTCCTTTTGTAAAGATTGCTCACCGCTGAGTAGACATAGTATTTCAAGCCGTTGATCCACGTACAGTTGGAACCAGTCTTATTCAAGCACTGTAGTTTGATATTCATGTGCATATTGAGGTCATTGACTAGTGATCCACCTCGGATTTTCTGTATCTCATTTCCAATATCAAGGTTATTCATCATTAAAGTTCCATCTGAAAACCTTCGTATACTTCCTCATTTCCCTTATAATTGATGAGGCAATGTTATTGAAACAATACTAATGTGTATATTGCTCATATACTTCCGTTGAAGGACAACTGGAGAGCCGTGAGGAGTGCCACCCATGAGGACCTTCGTAACTTACTGTGAAGAAGCGAATGTGGGATGTTCTTAGAGGCTGAGGGGCAGTTTACTTGTACAAGAATAACGCCTACGATTGCTCGAGCGCGGTGACTGTCTTTAAAGGCAGCGCCCGCGTCCATTTGATGTTCCTACGCCCTCCTTAGATATCGTACTTTGTCGACAAGGGTGGAGGATGTACTAATTTCGCAGCTCAAAAATACGAGAGGATGGCGCCACCCGCTTGTGAAGAGGATGCCGCCCCGCTCCACTGGCTGCCATAACTGCTTTGGCTTAGCCTTCGAAAGGCTGAGCCCGCTCCCAAGAGTAATGATGCAAAGCTAGGCTATGACATCTAGAGAGGGCGCGGGAATATCAAGTGAACGTGGGCGCTGCATTCAACTATTGTCGAAACTCGTAGGTAAAGCACGGAGCTGAGCACAAAATGCAGTAATACAAACGGGCCGTGTTGAGGCTTTCTATAAGAAGAGGACTCTCAATGGCGATGTGTAGCTGATATCATCTCAGTTAGTCGGGACGGTGCCAGGAGGGGAGAGGGAGAAGCTCGCCTTTCGCTCCTTTCTTCACCAGTGATGTCGGTTAGCGTTTAGTTCAGTAGGAAAATAACTAGGGGTGAAGGCGCTGCGAGTGAACTCATTCCATATGCATTTCATGGACTTATCAAGTGAAATATGCATACTTTACCGCCAGTGCGAAGTAAGTGCAAGGAGGAACCAGGAAAAAGCTGGCACTGACAGCATGAAACAGTGAACGACTTCCAGGTACTAATATGATAAAACACATTATGCATACATATGTTAGTTTAACTCACTAAAGACGCCATTTTGATAGATCTGCACATGATCATTGATATCGGTCATTTTGTTATAGAGATCATCACTAAACCACTTGTTCACCATTCGCAGAGTGTCGTTCGCATGCAACTGCTGGAATTAATTGAAATTTTTCTCAAGTACCAGCTCGATGTTAACGTGATCATCGTGCGTTTTGATCAAATTCATTTAAATTGACTGACTTCGATGAATAACGCGTCTCTTACTACCCATAGATTATCGATATCAATTGTTTCACCACAGAATTTAGTCAAATTGGCAAGCATACTAACAACCTGCAATCTGTTATATAATGATGTATACCATCGACAGAGTTTCTCCCAATCAGCGTTTCTGAGATCAATGAATGAAGCCGATTCTCGCTTCCAAATCACCACCAACATCTTGCCTATTTTGGAATGCCTGAAGTTCTGGAGAGGTTTTCGCCATATCCCACAAATAAGTTTGCCGGTCACAAGGAGCGTCAGGATTTAACATCTGAAAATTCATCCTTAAATTAGCACTTGTAAATGAGGCAACAAAGTTTGGGGCTCACATAATCAGTGTCATCATCAACTGTATGAATAGCGATCGGAACGAATCCTGTCGGCCAACCGTTGTCATCTGGATAATCCAGACCAGGAGTAGCCTGACCGTTATTCTGGCCATACATACCTAGCATATTTGACATCGCTGATATGATGGTTCGATTCTTGTCCGTCGACCGAACGTAGATCTGCAATTACTCCATAAATGGAGGAAAGCTGCGTGGACCTTTAGCATACTATTCAGATTACAGAGCTTGGAGAAATGATCACTTTGCTTGTGACCCATATGGATTTTGTATTTTTCTTAATTTACATGAGTTGGGTGAAAGACGGTTGCATTCAGTTGACCTGTTTAGGGTGCCTTTGTTGAATATGCATCCAAATTCCGCTTTGAAGTGCAGATAGATTTGAAGCCTTTTGTGCCATTTTCACAAGCTGGCTTATGATGTCAGGTGATGTGTTCCCAGTGTTACATAAAACACTCAAAAAGCAACCTCGTGGACTTAGAAGAGTGCGCTGTTCGATGCCTTTGACTAGGCGCCTAGGCCCCTTCGTGACAAAATACGTCCATTCCCTGATCTGATGCCTTGCGATCTCATTTCTTCCCAACAAGACGTATACTGCTAAATTGGCTGATGCTTGAAAGGCAGCCTCAGCAGGATCAACATCAACAAGAATACGGCGTTGTCCTCACGTTCTCGCTTTTAGACGTTTCGTGATCAGTTGAAAAGACATTGAAATTTCATGACGGAAAGTAAGAGCATGACGCAACAAAAGTTACAGTTTTCCGCGCAGGAAGAACAACTGGGAGGAGAAATGGGCGGAATTCATCGTGCACGAACGGTGGACGAGGGCATTCACTGGGCACTTCGTAGCTTAATTTATACTTGGCAGTAAAACTCATTGTAAAGTCTGAATAATAACAGTCTAGTAATAACAGTTTTAATAGTGTGCTATCAGTATTCTCGATGTTATAAGATCACGCAGATTAGCTGACCTCCTCGGCGTTCCTTTGCTCAACCGTTTTACTATTTATCTATTTACTTATCTACACTGTAATAGTGTGCCCTAGATATCAGTAAAGCACACCTAGCAGAATACTCATCAACTAATTAGAGCCAATATAGTGCGATGGGGCATAATAGGGAGCATTTATTTGGTTATGCGAACATTGAAGTTGGGTTTTTGATTTGGTTATGCGAACATTGAAGTTGGGTTTTTGTTCTACACTGTTGCTGAGGTCGTTGTACAAAATATGAAAGTACAACAAGTGTCTGAACACGCTTCTTGCTGTCCTCTAAGTTTAAGATTCAGTCCCTGTTGAAAATATGTATATACTGACGAACCTCTTTTGATGAATATCTTGGGCTTAAAAACTTCAGATCGTCGACGTATGTCTTCCGGAGGAACTGTCCTAACCTCATATGCTGTTGCATTCCAATCTAAAAGCTTCTAAATGAATGATGTGGTGGGTCACAGTGGATATACAATCCTCATCATTACGGACTGTCGGGGCGTGTCAGTGCGGCTGCGTTTGGCGCGGTACCGAAGTCGTTCTGCACCAATTGTTGAAGCGGGCAAGTGACATTACTGTATTATATCCTTCGTATTACTCGTTTTCTACCACTTTTTGTCGCATACGCGTTTCAACAAAAAGGCTGAGAACGGCTTCAACAGTGTGCGCACTCCTACTGGCTGACACGCCCCGACAGTCCGTAATGATGAGGACAGTACATTTAGAATTCGTATACCTCAATAGCACAGACTGTCAACCTTCCACTATGTCCTTTCGTGATTCAAGCCCTCTAAAAGTCACTTCTCTACACCGGGCAGGAAGACCAACTGGAAGGTCTCAATGGATGGTCATTATGAAGTAGAAAGTTTTGATGGAGTTGGCAGTAATAACGAGAGCTCCCGGGTTAGGGTGATGGTGCGATCCAGTTCACTTTACTTGAATTGTTTCGATCTGTTTCCAAATGTGCGACAGCAGTTTTTCGGAGTGAGGGAAAAATTTAGGAGTTTTCAGGACAAAAAACTCGGGGAAAAGTGTAAGCATTTGGGAGAATTTTGGATCATGGTACGTAG